CCCCCAAAATTCAGGCGAAAAGCCTATCTCTCTTTCTCGCTATCCCTGAATTTGATTGTCATGGCTCAATATTTGAGCGAGCACAAAGGAATCAGACGGCTTGTCTCAATCGAAGATCTCATTGGTAAGTAATCTAGTACCAAGAAACTCGTGATCCTAATCTAATTGCGTTGTTAGATTTCTCGGAAAGATTTCTCGTTACCCTCTGGTCTCCTCTAGCGAAGGATAGCCCCAAAACTTCAACGGGGTTTCGGGTTTATCTGAAAAATATCCTTCGAAGATCTCATACAACATATCATACACTCATCGCGACGTTCTACTATCTAGCTCTCTTGCGGTTCACGATTAAGCAAAAGTTTCCCACTAAGCCCTTTCAAGTGCCCCAGGAGCTTCAGCCTCTACAGTGTCAGCGGCGGATGTTTCTCGCAGCTCTTATGCTGGGTTGGAAGTTCACTCAGGATTATGGGCACTCGACGCGACGCTGGGCATCCTTCTCGGGTCTAAGTGATAAGGAGCTAAATAGAAACGAAGGATTGTTTCTTTCCGTGATTGATTGGCGCCTCTTTATATCACATGGAATGTTTTCTCACTGGAAGTCAGAGGTACTTTACTATATTCAAAACCCTGATGTTGCTTTACCAGATTTTATCTTTGCTCAGTGAAAAAACACTAGACTAATTATAGTGATGTGGATGGAAACCAAGGAAAATCGGCTTATGGCACTTTCTTTTATCTCTAAAAGTAATAGGTTTGGATCTGAAAACTGATATCATCTTTGCCTAAAGCCCTGGCTGCTATGTATTAAATGAAGGTTTTTTTTCACCGACCACGAGTCTGCGTCCTGAGAAGTAATTTCAAAATGCCAAATTAAGTATAGTCGATTTCCGCGACACATTACAGTTGTGAGAATTTTGTACACAATGGTGTTTAATCTCGGCTTCAGAGTCTTAGCGCTTGGGGTCTAGCCCAAGCTTGAGCAATGGCAAGCAGCCTTGAAGCCCTGTTGGCTTGCGCAAAACTGGAATGTATAAGAGAAATTGTGTAACTAGACGGTGTGGAAACTAATATCTAAGGCGCGACCGACGCTTAGATAGCAAGTGTGTTTGGTGATGCTAGGTGTACGGTAAAGTGACTGGTTTTGAGACCATTCCCTGCAGCCGGTATTGTGAATCGAGAACTGGGACCGTAAACCGCTCTTTCCCCTTCTCGGAGCGCCTACATGGCTCAGCTGCTGGTATATCGGTTAGTTGTCTGGATCGATTTTGAATAATGGCAGGATGGACCGCGACGCGAACCCTGAACCGCCCGACCGCGACGAACGCGACGAACGCGAAGATTCACCGCCACGATTGTCGAGACCGAGACGCACCACCAGACCGCCGAATAATTATGCTCGGGAGCAAGAGATCGACAACGAGCAGACAAAGGCACGCTCCCAACAGAGGCAAAGAATCCAGGATAAGCCAGGGACCCAATGTGACGCAGCAATTTCCGACGAGTCGGCGACAGAGAGCGACGACCCAAGTGCCGCCAATAAACTCAGGCAAGAGATCAGACGACCGGATGATTTACAAAGAAAAGAGCTCCGGAATGTCGGAAAAGAATTCCAGAAAGTCAAGGAAAATTTGGTGCCGCCCTCGCAGAATTCGACATGAGCTGCAGACCCTGACACATGGAATTGAATCAGCTTGAAGTTTTTTTAGTGACCTCGCACGTCAACACCACAACGTAAAGCCTCTCTTCGGCATTTCAACCACCTATGCAGTGATTGGGTTTTATGGGCGAAGCCGAGCGATGTCAACTTAATTGCTGCAAGGTATCCCTTATGGCTCAAAATTGTCTACCCATATGCCATTTCCTCTGAAAATAATCTGAATTTTCAGTTAGACATCTACAGTACTGGGGATGTCTCTCCTTCTATAACAAATGACTATCCCCCGAAGATCAATTAAGAGAGACTCGTCTTTCGTAGGCGATGTTCTTCCACGTTGGTCAATTTGACATTTCTACTATTATTCCGGCCTCCGAAAGCTTTGGCTTTTGAATGGATTGTCGGGGACAAACTTTTTGTCGTTGATAAAGACCTGCTGCAAATAAGTCGTTAAACTCAGGTCTTTGATTAGAGAGGCATTTCAACATCCCAGAATCAGGCACCATTTTAGAAAGGAAGAAGGTTGATTGAGGTTTATTGACAGGCACAGAAGTGCAAAAAGGTGATGACGAATGTTAACATCAGAATCTGGGTACCAATCATATTAAGACATAAAATTAAGACATATAGATGATTGATCTTAGCTTCAGCGCCGTCTAGCATACTGTACAGTATCATTCTTGCCGTCAGTACCGACTCCTTTATAACTTGAAACAAATCACATGTCTTCCCACATTACCATGGAGATTATTGACAAGGAATTCGAGCTCATGAAAAGGCTTTCGGAGAACAAATTAAACAATGACGTCAGTATTTACCTTGATGAAACACACAGCAAGATCCAATTGAGGGGCATATATAACCCCAGAGGCCCGTATAAGAGGTCCCTCGCTCATTTCGCTGCGATGCGAGATTGCGTCACGCTTCTTGAAAGGCTGCTGGACCTCGGTACTCCGGTTGATGATCTTGACCAGAACAAGCGCACACCACTCTCTTGGGCCGCAGAGTATGGCTCTCTTAGAGCCGCCAAAGCTTTGCTGAAGAAAAGAGCTAAGATCAACTCTCTCGATGACATGTACAGGTCACCCCTTACCTGGTTGGAATATGCCGGCAGCACTGAATGCAAGGATCTAGAAGCTACCAGGTCATACCTCAAAGAGAATGGGGCAACCATGAGGGGTGCAAAACGCGCATGGATATTTAAGAAATTGCGAATACTCTGAGGAGAGAGGGGATACTGATTGGTTTTCTTGTGCAGTAGGGTGGGATTTGAAGCTACCCCTGTCATTTTTGGTCTCTGAATTTTAGAAGTGCAAATAGCTGAAAAGAGCATTTTCTGATGTTCAAGGTTGTCAGAACTTGTGATCCAAGATAGACTTGCACCGTAGTAGCTACGAGGGAAGTTTCTGGTACAAGCGCCCTATGGCCACAAACAGGGCTTTTTCTTCTGCACAAAAAGTAGTTTTCTCACCATCAGCGTTCATATCGTTGCTACTTTCTGGCCTAGTTTAGCTCTTCGATCGCCTTTACGCCGTCACAAGACAAAACTTGATCCTGGGAGCAAGTTATAGAAGCACGCCGACCCACAATGCCCAGCAATTCGTCAACCAATGTATGAATACTCAAGGTGCATTCGAATCCGTGGCAATTATAACCCATTTGACAACTGAGTAGAGTTGAGCTGCAAAGAAATCCTGCGAAATAACCACAATTAGAAACGCCTCATCCACAGCACCCGTTTCTGATCGTCATTCCGGGCACTATAGTGAGTCCAATGCGCATCATCACGACATTCCTACTAAGTCTGAATAGCTTTGCCTGCTGATTTCAGAGGGCACCGGGGAAGAACACGTTTCTATCTTTTATTTTGCCAAATCAAGAAGCAGGTATAGCTGCTTAAAAGGGATTGGGAAATACCATATTACCTTTCGGATGAACATTCAATATCAAAGTAAATATATACCTCCTTGCTGCAGCTTCTGAGGATAATCTCCGTAGTGAGCGATCTGCTGGAAATTTAGAGCGTTAGGCTTAACGCGCGAAACAGAGAAAGCAAAAATGCCAGTGGCTTATCTGCATGGTAACCTTAGTATTGTTCAAATGCTACTGACGGAGATTTATGTTGATATTGACTTGATTATCAGTTTACACTCCATCGGGCTCTCGGGAGGTTTCCAGAACAAATTGGCAGAGCTCAATATAGACCACTGCTGGAACAGATTGAGTAATCAAAAGCTATGATGCGTCGAAGATGCGTTTAATCAATTCAAAAACTTTCTCTAATATAAATACTGACATCACTGAACAGTATTGAATTTGTGTAGCATTGATGGTCTGATCACTGTTATATCCCAGGAGTCAGGGCACAAACCGTCACCCTTCGATCCTTGTACACACACACACACACACACAATTTATTAACGCCCGGCGGCTGAGCCGAAAGGGCAACTATCACTATTCTACAGTACCAGTACATGTATGTTTGAGTATATCCATGTCTCCCTGGGGCCCATACAGTTTTTCCTGCCATATTCGACATCTCAGCTTTCATTCTCATAGCTGGTCCCTGTGGGTTAGTATTAGTTAGTAGACTGACTTGAAGGCGCTTCTTCAAGTGTTCAACATCCTATCCTCGGCAGTTGAAGCGCGTCCACCATCTGTCAGAAGGTGTTGGGCTTAGTAGGGGGGAAGGTATTCTATCCGCGTTCGTTGGCTAGGTCAAGTGGCCTCAAGTCACCCCGTAGCTATGGCAAATCGTATCGTATTGAGGATCGCACTGTTTCCAAATTGGACGTCCAGTTCTGATCATCGTGGTCATTGGAGGGCGATTTTCCACCGAGGAAGAATGATGTTTTACTCCGCTGAGTGCTGGTGTATCGCATCATTTTCGTCTGGTGAGTGGTCCACTTCCGACAGCAATAGATGAAGTGGTCCAGCTGGCCAGCTACGTGCTTGGGGGAGCCTCCTCTATACGATGACAACCAGTGGCTGGCTAGCTATGTAAATTCCGCTGGTAAGCCCATTCCGGGTGAGATCATTGAATAGCACACTACATATCACAAGTGAATTACCCAGCAGTTGCCTTGCGGAAGTTGCTATTCTTAGTCTGTTGCGAGCGATTTTTTGCAAGTGAACTAAATTCAAAAAGCGCGTGCTTGATGCTAAAATAAGATCACATACAATTTCAGATGGCGATGCACCAAGTCCTATAAGATAGATAATAGCAGCGGGGGTCCCGGCCAAAATTTCAACCCCTAGCCTTCGAATTGCACTTATTTCAGGGCCAGATGGATGTATGTTGGTGGAATGATCAAGGTTTGAAAATGGTGAGTTGGCCGCGACGCGTCATTTATTCCCTGAAATTGAAGCGGAATGGGGAAAGTTCTCCGTATTCCCATCCGATTATATGGTATCTCATTACCCCCTCCTTTCCTTCTTCGTGCAATGGAATAAAGTTGCGACGACTAGGACCATATATAGTCACTTGCCATTTCTTGATTGTTCCCTGAAGGTTCAGTGTACAAACTGGCGTTAGGTCGTCTTTGCTGGATATGGCGCCTCCGATGCCAAAAATATCACAACTCTTCAAGCTCTGGATTTTTGGGCCTCTCAGAAAGCAAAAGCTTGTTTGATGATTACCGTTGGCAATCAATCGTCGAGCTTTTTTCGCTTCGAGATACAGAAATTCATCGGCCAGCACAATAGCCCGTACATTCAGAACAATCTTAGGCAGTTTGATTTTCTCTCCGCTTGCGTTCCTCCATCCCATGGCGGAGAAAATCACCTCATGGTGCTCCCTGTCATAGCGGTGACCGTTACGTAGACTTTGGCGTAGAAAATCGATTCCCTCCCAAAACAGATCACCCGTGTTATCATTTGGATACAAGATGATATAGGCCGGCTTTTTCTTCCCCGGTTTACTGGCGATAACATCACCTAGGTTAGCCCCAATCAGGACGGGCTCGGCTTCAAGCTCGGTTGCTTTTTGAAACCATTTCTCATCTTTAAACATAGATCGCCAAAGTAGGTTCGTTGGACTATCGTCAACGAAGCACATCGAGTTCGCCATTGCTTTTGCTCGTAAAGGATCGGGCTTCACGAAGTCAATAATCATGTCCAGAATCTCACGTGGAAGTCTCGGCATCTTTGAAAGCTTTTGGTATGCTATATTGCGGATTGACTGAATACCATAGTATATTCCTTGTGTTTATATATGGTTGTATTACTGTTCGCAAAGCAAGGTGTTAGGATCCTGCAGTCCCTCACACAGTTGAGGGGCCGCAGTTTGTGTACATACCACAAGTTACAGTTCAGCAGAGCTACCCATCAACCCAACCACTCCTTGAAATTGCGTACGGGCCCTTTCATAGCCAGCCTAGCTCAGCTCGCATCCACTTCGCTCCCAGGAGACTGAGGTGAATAATTCAAAGGCATGGACGCTCCAATTCAAACGGGTATCTCTGTATGATTATCTGCGGAGGATAAGCATATCTCACGTTCAAAGAGATAGTAACAGTGAAGACCTTATCTATCGCTCAGAATTAAGCCTGTTTGAAGTCGATGTTTCTGTGAATTGTGATAGAACAGATGGCAACATCAAAAAAATGCGGATACTGCAAATTTTCCTCCGTAGCGATACCAGAAAATAGTAGAAAAGAAAAGAAAAGGAGACGGCAACGACATGAACTATATTCACCATTTGATCAAAGAAATAGATCGCCATGACCAGTGAATAGAATTGAACGAGGTGGCTGCTATTTCCTATAGCAATGAGGTGCAGACGCATGTTGATGAACGCGGAGACATGTCGTCAATGGGATCTGCAGTAAGTTTGCGCGTGTTGAGATGGTGCCAACAGTGAGAAGATACAATTTCTCCGAATATTGCTGAAAATTAACCGTGAAGAACCAGCTCAAATTGGAGGGCCAGTTCTGTTGACTCCTTACGGTGTGCAACGGTCCTTGTGCCGACTTAAACTGAAAGGCTAGCGGCAATGCTATAAGTATCTGGCCTTTGGCCACCCGGAACAGTCTTCCTCAAGCATTCCCATGTCCTCTCGGTGCAAAATGCCCTCGACTTCGCCAGCTACTTCCCGGTACGGACTGACTCCAAAATGTCATGTAGTTATGATCGAACTGACCTGTTTCATCGCCCCTAGCCTGTCTCGCCTTGATGCTGAGATCTGTGAAGGTAAGTGTAGTTGCCCGGTCATTTGAAGCCATGCTGACGTGAAAGAGACCAGATCAGTCGCGTCTCCGCGGCCTGCGTGCGAATTTATTGACGAACATTAGTCGTCTTGGGAGCATCCCGGCGGCCAGGATAGTGAGTTATGACGGCCCCCTATAATTCACCTACTAATGACTTCTTTGTATTAGACCGAATCTCTGCAACCAATTTGGCCCTGCTGGAAAAGCGCATTGCGCAGCAACTGGCAAGGTAAGTTTGATCATTGTGATAGTCGAAAAGACTAAGCCTTGCTGGTGATTCAGTGGTTAAGAAGCCAGCAATTTTGTATGCACCACGAGCCAGCCCATATCTGGTGAGTTGTCCCATGCGTGGCCACTGCTTATTCCCAACGCGCGGGACTACAGGTTGAGTCTCAGTGTGGATGTAGTATTCTTCGGGCTCTGTGCTCCTCGGAAAGTGTCGCTGATTTCTCTTTCCTGCCGCAGAGCGACTAGCAATCTTGCACTCACAAGACTGCCCGAGCCACTACCTCCGAAAAACCTTGCGCCTTGTTGCTTCAAATGTGTGTTGAAATGGCACCCCGCTCAATGCATTCTGGACCCAATCCAGAAAGGCTTCGCGTTCCCGATCGGCCACGCGGTAACACTGCAATTTGCTTTCATCTCCCGCTTCACCCTGTCAGATCCAGAGCTAACTGTGAAAATAACAGGACATTGCCATATTCCGACAGCTCTGTTCTCTTGTCCACGTCTATTCCGAACCTTGTCGGCATGATCCGTCCATGACACCAAATGAGTATCGCAGTATTCAACAAGGAGAACTATCACATAAATGACCATCAAGAAAAACCACGGCTCCTTCCGCAGCAACACCAACCAAAGCTACCCAAGCCTCGCCACAAAGCAAACGCTGCCGGACAATATACCTTTGCCTCAAACGAATTCCCATCCCTCCTCCGGTGTTCCTTGACTTGGTGCAACTGCATATCTGCTGGCCACTGGCTGTGTCCGTGCCAACAGCAGAGGCATACAACTGCGTATTGGAGGATATCCGTCTGCCACCGCAGCCGTTTTCTCTAGTAAGAGCTGCTCCTGTTCCTGCGTATATATGAGCTGACGCTTGCCTCATCTCTAGATCACCCATGGTCGATGTAAAACTACTGTCATGGTAAGTATATGCCTCCTTCTGACACTGGACATGTTGCTGATGTAGATAGGCAATGTTTCGGTCTTCATTAGATAATTCCCACCCTCAATCGGGATACGCCATCATGGCCGCTATTACGAATCCCAGCAGGCCGAGAGTACACCGAGCTGCACGAGTTAAGCTGGACGTTGGTGATTGATCGAGGAAATGTGGCGGAGGAATCTTTTGGCCGTCCCGAAATCAAGACGACGAACTAAAGTTGGCGAGTTACATTTCATCCCTGAAAGTTCGGAATCCAGCTGACCGCGTTGCCAGATCGCCGATTCGATGGTCGATTCTCCCCACCTATGGCATGCTGAATGCACCGAACGCTCCTCAGTGTCACTACGGGGGCGGAACGCTCGCAGAAGCATGCCTCACGAAAGTCGTGATTTCTCTATGATAGTCCGAAAGATACAAGTTGGTTTTCAATCAGATGGAGAGAAAAAGAAAAAGACGTCCTTGTTGCCTACTGTTGTTGTTCAGGGGCATCAATTATCTATCATTGTTATTCAGAGGGAAACATGAGGCTATATATACAACGAGAAGATCAAGTTGATTTCCAATCAACTTGGTTCTTCGTATACATACTTCGGGATTAATTCCGATGGTTCGGCTTGATTCCTGATCTGCACCAGCCTCATATCACAACAGCAGTCATATTTCTGTCAGTGGGAATGTCACGTGTGCCCGACGCGAGACGCTGCGACGCGTCAGTGCACGGCCTCGTCGCCTGTGGCAGACGTCTGAATACCCCCGGATGCTGTCATGGGTCGGCATGCTCAAGTGGCTATAGAAAGTTTCTGATGAAAAGGTCATCTGAACGTATCCTGCAGGAATCGAACCCGAGCCGTTATTAGTAAATGCAGCAAATTCCATTAGGCCACGCAAGGGGAGGTGCTGGCGCGCGAATTTTGCGCGATTATAGCCGTGATTTCCAAATAATCATACACGCCGTACACATCCGGCAAGATCAGCGTTTCGAGCTCCAGAAGTGTCTTCCATTCGATCAGGCCGACACAAAATGATAACTGAAATATGTTTAGAAGAATGAGGCTTTCTATCGCTAGTACCCTACTGGTTCTTTGCCGCTTTTGCTGCCGATAATGTATATAATAGCATTTTGAATCAACATACAGCGACACTACCTTAGATATAGAATATCGCCAAAGAGCACGCGATGAAGCTCGAGCCGAGAGAATGTCACACAGAAGACCGAGCGGAGTATGTATACCCATATCGAATCTAATATGTAGAAATCATCATTTCGCAGTGTTCATCAACTTAGCATTCGTGAGGGAACAGAGATCCCCACTCTGGCGGGATGGGTGTTTACCGTTGGCTGCTACTTCACCGCCCGGGAGTCTCCCGCACTGCCCATCAACATGTTGATTCACGATTCACTGGTCCAGTCCCCATCACCATCATCACCAACTCTCAACCGTCACTCACCTCCAGCCCTCACCATCAACACATCAACACATCAACACATCAACACATCAACACATCAACACATCAACACATCAACACATCAACACATCAACACATCAACACATCAACACATCAACACATCAACACATCAACACATCAACACATCAACACATCAACACATCAACACATCAACACATCAACACATCAACACATCAACACATCAACACATCAACACATCAACACATCAACACATCAACACATCAACACATCAACACATCAACACATCAACACATCAACACATGAACACATGAACACATCAACACACCACCCACTCACCGTCGAAACTCCGCATCTCCCTACGTCCGGACTAATTCCGCTGCTACTGCTAGCCAGCAGAGACAAGCATTCATACCAATGGCAACTACTGTCAAAGACTGAAATATTTCCTCCATGGTGTGCTTTGCTGTGGATGGTACAGTAGTTTCAGCCAGGAGAAAGAGAATGGGGGAGAATTCAGGCTGCCGCTATCTTCGGTTGCATGACTAACACTAATCTGGATTGGGAAATATGGGGTCTAGACCGTGACTAGTAGAATGAGATGGAAAGATCGAGAAGGCAGAAATGTGCAGCTTCAACTCACTTCTCCTAGTTAAAGTAGCTACCGTACTTTAAACTCGAGCGACTCTGCCAATACCTTGCCTGCGTGCGCTTTTGGGCGCGGTGCGGCTTTTGTGATGGCGGGCGCATCATGCGGGTTGTTTCGGCGAATCAACACGTACGTCAGTCTGAATAATGTAGGGGAAAACCAGAAAAAGGGAAAGCGAAGACCACTAGAAACTCTTCGCGCCCAACCTGCGGCGTTACTCTATGGAGAAATAATTTGGGAAGGCCTGCTATAGAGACTCCTGAGCAGTGTAACGATTTATGCTAACCGCTTGGTTAACTAGTCAATTACTTGAAATGTGAGGTTCTCTTAACCAGACACGGGCTGGTCTTTGACAGGGCGAGCGCCGTCCAGTGGAATAGAACGACTAGGCTTTCAGGAGCCAAGGGAACGTAGAAGCGGATCGTACAAAGGAAATATTTACAGCTATACAAATTTCATTCTCATTTGTGTATCAGATTACGGTTGGTTGCAGATAACCACGGTCGTTCAAGCGCGGCATGATGGTCCACCTAGGCATATATCACACGTTTGATCAAAGATAGATAGTTGAATTTTCCCTAAAAGGCGATCAGCTAGCCCTTGTTAAAAGGGGACGCAACCACAATAAGTAGTGTCATCTATCCGACGACGTTAGTATTCCATATATAGATCTAATATTTAAGTTGGTTTGTATCAAGACTCACCGCCATCACCCGAAGAAGAGCAAAGCTCCCTAGCTTGATCCTCATCCACCGATTCTTGTCGCTGATATACTACCATACACTCCTCGCAGGTAGACATAGTAGAGCAGTACAAGTCACAGTCTTTCTGGGCCTGTACGGTGCAGCCGGTCGTACAATCACCAGGAGGCTGATTTAAGCATTGCCCGGCGCAAATCGCTTCTTCTTGAAGAGCCACACACTTGGTGTAGGAATCCCCCCAACAATTTGGATTTGTATTGGCGTCGTTGGCGGGAGAACATTGTGTATTCAATGTGTCTGTTAATGCGCCGATCACATTTATATCCTCTGGAGTGGGAACAGCGAGGCCGGTAGAGGCGAGGAATGTAGTGAATGAGAGAAAGACAACGAACTTCATTCTGAATAGGGTGGAAAATTGGTTGAATCTTTTAATAACGGGTTGAAGATTCGAAATTTCAAGTTATTGTTGTTAATGATGATAGGAATAATAGGTAAAATGGGGGGAAAGAAGCACTTATTTATACCCCGAGATTGTCTCTTCTATGGCAGAAGGTGAGATAGTACAGGAGGTAACAAGAAGCGGACCAGCCGGAGACTCAAAGGCGATCTTAACTCGAACTACGGTAGCTTTGGGGCGGAATATCTTGGCCTTCTCTGTAAGTCTTACACTGCCTCGAGAAGCTCTCTTGGCAAGACATATTTTCTATCCTTGGCAAAATGGGGGCTGAATCTATAGGAATGGGATGTAATTTAATAATTCCTCAGGCTTTTCATGATCTTAGGTCGTATGTAGCCCTCTAGTATACACCGCTCCAGGGATATGTATATTTGGCAGCGTTATAGGGTGGTAAGGCGCTTTCCTTATTCATCTAAATTATGTATATGATAGATCTACTCTGCATATCATTAAGTGGGTTCAACGCCCCTCAACAACAACTTATGGTCATGATATGAACATATGACAGTATTTGCGGGATCTACCGGTTCAAACCCCTTATTCTATCCCCTTCTCGGGCCATCAACCTTGAATTTCTGGTAGGATTGATGTCAATGACATTTCCTAGCTTGGTTAGCACTGCGAGACGGCCCCGGAAAATGGCAACGTGGGGGCCATTGGATCTAGCACGGACCCAAGGATAATCGGCCAATGCCTCACGAAGCCGGGGCGAATCGGCCCACAGGAATCCCAGAGCTGACCAAAGGCACGGGTGTATCCAACGGCCCCAAGATTTAAGAAGAACGGGACCATAGCGAATACGGCGGCATTATCGCAGTAGGTCTTATACAGTGGTCCATATAGAAGAACGGTGGGAAGGTCGTCGAAGAGATGGGACTTAGGGCGCGTGGATATGATGACCCGGACCATCCAGATGGAGAAGCAGAGCAAAATGACAATCACAGGTGCCGTGAGGGCCACGCTATATGCAGGAGAGCCTCTAGCGGTGACCAGCTAGATGAAAGAGAGGGAGATGATGGGGAAGAGGAAGTAGTTGAAAACAATGCGTATGACATTGCCGATGGTGAACGGCATGTTTTTAGCCCGCAGATCCTGCAAAGCGGTGGCAGCCAGTTCATGATGGAGCCAGCGCAATGCGAAGCCCAGTTGCACATCCAAAGTAATGCACCGCTATTTTTGAATAGCAAGAGCTCAGAGGTCTGGTGTATATCGAATTCAACTTACCACGACCCATCTCACTAGAGCGGGCGAGTTTCTGAAAGCTCCAGATTCGCTTTAGTATCCTTGTAGCTTCTTCCTCATCCTCCGCTATACCTCGCAGCTGCTTCAATTCAATGGAAGCCCTTCCATACTAGGATTAGATATTTATGTTCATCGGCTTACCCTCGGTAATATGTATGTATAGTGGAGATGAGACTGTGTCTCGGGGTCAGCATTAGTCAAGGTTATTCGATATCCCCAGGAAATGCGCGACCAGAGAAATTTCACTGGCCGTGAGACTGCTCAAGAGCAGGTCCGTGACCTCATAGAATCCAACATTGGTCATGAGAAGCTCAACAAGATAGGCAATTCTATAGCGATACAGTCGTGGAATCGCATACCTGAATACCCATGGTTTCGGCTTCATCTGGGGCCAAGGACCAGGCGAATATGATTCCGCTCTGCTATTGATCCCGGGGTTGGTCAATGTTCATTGAGAGCGACGCGGAAGAGGGAAGGTGGATCGGTCTTTGTAGGTTGGCATTTCGACCTGGTAATACATTTGTGAAATGATTGATGTGGGGCCGTGTTTGGGGCGAGGATGTATGGCAGGTGCCCAGAGATGATTACCACGAGCCTGAGAATACGTAGTGTGATCGCTCCATCTCTTTCGGTACATGAGACCTCGCTTCGAGTGGCATATGCTTAAGGGTAATAGCCTGGATAGGTGGTGAGGTTTGGAACCAGAGGAAGCAATTACTGGTTGTGCGCGGTATTCAGCACCGCATCTGCCTGACGGCTCCAAACGACCTTACTAAGCTCAACTTATTGTCGGTTTACAAGTGGAAGAATCTTACTTACGTAACCTGTTTCATCCAATATCCATTACTTCCTTATGCCCAAGGCATAAACTGCTGCACCAGCATGTAGGATCCCCTCATTTTGCCTTCAGGTTTAGACAGAAATAACGCATCTCAAGTAGCATGCAATGGCCTCGCTGGTAAGCATTACGACTAGTCCGTACTGTAGCGACTACATTCTGACAAGACCTCGCCAAACGTGGGTTCGGGGCGGGTAACCCATCGCGGATTTTGTATTTCACAAACCCGCCCGTGGGTTTTTGGAAAATGTTCGCGGGTACCCAAATTACTCGTCAAAATACATAACTGGTGCATAATTTACTATTAGTCAGTTTGTGTATTTTTGGTAATCTATTTCGATACCGCTTTAAATATGGGAAATACAATAAGATATGACATCTGCTCCCAAATATATATATTAATCAGGGATAGTAGCTGCACCATGTTTTGGAACGACTGTCTCCCACCCTGTATCATCGGATGCCACAACTAGATTCCTCAAATTTAACCAGGTTCTCGTCACATAAACATCTTCCATGTTAAACCTGAATCTGAACGGTCAGACTGTCATGTCATTTCTATCTCGGGCTCATAAGAATGGAGACATGGGTACGTTGGGGGTATCAGTGTATCAGTGCTATCCAATGATGGTAGGTAGAATGGCAGCCCCAGGCTCCTAGGAGCTCATAGCCAAACTTGGACCAATCGTATCTGCCGAGGCTACCGTCCATCAATGGCACAGACCCCAAGGAAATTTATTGCGCACTGGCCCGCAAGGACCTCCTCAAGAAACGTGCGATTCCTCTCATGTGGCTTGGCCTATGCTATGAAGCCCCATGACGCACTTTTGTAAGCGCAGATCGGAGTACTGAGACGTCGCTTGCACTATTCCTCCGCAATGCAGGGCCTTTCCCTGCCCATCATCCCCTTTCCAAAACTCAGGAAATCAATCTTCTCGCTTTACGTTACCTGCAGTTGCTACTCCGGAGTGTGCCGATCTTCTGCTTTCTGAAGTTGCCTGGCTAAATGTCTGAATTAGCGAATGTGTGTTAAATGGGTGCGAAACCAGTACAATAGCTTGCCGTTTATGCGTCCCCCGACTTGATAGTCCTCTCCTTGTTGTCTGAAAGATAGAGACCTCAATCGAGATCTTGGGCTGACATTGAGGAACAAGGTTAACACTCAGTTTTCAGAATGGACTGCCCGAATCTATCTCAGAACCACGGCATACTCATGCAAAAATTCTATGTCGAGAATAGTGGTATTCTTCAGCAGTCAACCTTCCCTGCACATATAGATCGTGCAAACCTGGCACAACACGAACAAATTCGGGAAGGAGCCACAGGAAAGTTTTCTCTCGAATGCAGGTCCGGCGCCAGTGGATCAGCAACATGATCAAGCTGGCTTTAATATATCCGCCGAAGTCCCTGGGAATTCGTTTTTTAAACGGTCATGCAAGTGGGTTTTAATCGATTTTTTGTGGTTTCGATTGACTAACGTAGTCTACAGTAACTGCGGAACCATCAGCACTCCACTTTGGCGCCGGTCACCGGTAGGAGACATGATTTGCAATGCTTATGGCCTTTATCTGAACGCCTGCAATGCTGTTCGCCCTACGAGAATGAAGCCAATGCAGCAGGAGTGCGCTGAAAATACTGCTCCTGCTAACTACCCTTCCGCATCTTCAGCGCACGGGCCAAACGCGCCATCATATAGGACTTGCTACGGTACCAAAGGTTCCTGCCCTGGGAGCGAAAATTGTAACGGGACTGGTGGTACAGAAAGCTGCGAAGGATGCCCGGTATATTATAACCGCACTTACAAATCTGTGCATCGGGGTAAGTTTGCTATTAGCCGTGGCCAGACATCAGGGTCTCATCCTGGCCCGGCTTCAACCGCAACAGGGGCCAACACCGTTGTTGATAATATTTCAAAGTTAGTTGCATGCGATAATTGCGGAACAAATGTAACGCCCCTTTGGCGGCGAGACGAACATGGACATCCTGATTTGCAATGCTTGTGGTAAGTCGGAAAATCGTTCCATTCTTGTTTTCAGTCGCCCTTCGGTTGACGGAAATAAGGACTGTATTTCAAGGTCCATGGCTGCTTTCGCCCGGTGGTGATGAAAAAGTCCATTGTCGGGCGGCGTCAGCGGCAAATGCCAAAATTTCGGTCGAATACTTCAGCCGTTAAATCTTTAGTTGAATACTCCTCGCATCAACAAATATTTCCGTCTGCTATGGCCTATCCTTATGGAGAGAACTATAACCGCAGAGCTGCAAGCCTGTTTGCAACGCGGACCCATTCCCTCTTTCCTCCACATTGGTTGATTACACAAGCCACGCGCTACCAAAGTTAGTAGAGCCTGAACCACTGAGACTTTCGCAAAATCCACTGACCGGGGGACTATCTTCTGTGGCCCGGATGACCGAGCCGCCACAGCTCCGATCTATATCCTCAGCTCCGGAGGACTTGGTCCCACTCCCGTGGATACTGGACCCAACCCAAGCTCATCACTATGACCGTAGGGGGGATTCTTCGAGCCTTAGTCAAACACAACACTTCCAGCTCTCGAGGCCGTGGGTAACGCTCCAAGCGCATGTTATACATAATATATCTTTCCTAGGTGATTCTGCAGGCGAGCAGCGCGCTATATTGGAGCGTGAAGCGGATCAGATACGTGAAATGCTTCAAGCCACTGAGCGAGAGCTGGCTGCATTAAGAGGATAGTGATTCTTGACAACCCCAAAATGAGCGTTTCAAGCAGGTATTCTGGAACAGCGAAATAGCAACGCACTGGGATTCATTGGTCCGGACCGACGTACATCCTTAGTTTTGAGGACAATGGGGACGTATGGCTCGGTCATGGCTCGTGCCATCTTGAAATTTGTCCTATGACCAGAAAGATGCATCAGCGATCGTTTCTGATGGACAGAGAGCACGACAAGATCAAACTTCAAGTAAATAGCATCTGCACTGAGATCTACAATGCAGCCCCAGCCATGGGAATAGGCAGAGGCAACGCACCAGGGTGACTTAGAGGAGATCGAGCGGCTCGTGATCGAACGTTTGCCCTCTGACACAGGGAGTCGTCAGCACGGGATGAAGATTCTCCAAATTTCCGCTGATAAAAACTTACGTTGTCAGCTATTGCTGTTCGCTGTATTCTGTCAAGGTCGAAGCGGCTGTGTAAGGGACCACTTCAATCTATCATTAATCGTCAGTAGGCAGCGTATGAAAGCACTTCATAACTCACCATGCTCGCAGCTTCGATCATTTTGAGGCCATCCAAGGTCCATCAAATGGTTTCCTAGAGGAGTAGTGGAGGGGGACCGATCTTGAGCATACTCCATGTCAGCATGAATTCAAATGACGGGGCAGCTACACTCACTTGCTGTTCGAAGTCAGTATCGAGAGGATATCTAGCATAGTATCAGAGGTCAGTTTAATTACAAGCGCAAGATATCGAGGTCAGTCCGTACCAAATAATAGCCGGCAGAGATGAAAAGCGTTCGATATTCCTGACTCCGAGTGACAAAGGAATGCTTGCGAATGACAGTTCTGCTGGCAAGAGATCGGGTATTTATAGCATTGCAGCGAGTCATTCTGCTTGTGTCTACGCAACGATCGCTGTGAATTGTGAGGGCACAAACACAGACGACCCTTCAATTGCAGCTGGTTCAACATTTCATCATTGATTTAATGCAGCACTCGGAGGTATTGTATTTTTCTTTCTGGTGATCCAGTTTATAAAAGACCTTTTCTCACTGTTGGCACTGTTTACACAGTCATGGGGATGCCACAGAAAAGCATCGATGACGTGTTTAATCATTAACCATTATGAACCAGTACCTTATTGCGACTGACAGGGCGGCAACAGATCATGCCATTTAATTCCACTCACCGATGATGAGCGCATTCTTTTACTCAAAGAACACCCCATCAAAATTAGACAAACATCAAGCCATGTTGCGCCCCTAGCTACCTACTAGCCCAACTGTAGAACTGTCCATATTCCCTCCACGTTGACGTATGCCTGATCCTATTTTATGCACAATAAAAGATAGACGTTGTACAACTTACAGTGCGGCGGGCTCCTGATCTGTGCGGCCCCCGTATGTATCACAACAGAGTCCCTTGTTCTCCCGTCTGCTCTTGCCAGCTCTCCTTTTCTTACATTTTCAGAAGACCTGCATCTTTGAAAATGACACCAGCACAGCACCTATGGAATTACAGCTTGAATCGGTCGTGTCATTGTAATAATCTGAAGTCACATCCCATCGCTCCGTGCCAGGCTTTCGACAGAGATCGAAGTAAGCGGGCTGATCTTATAGGACCGCAGATCTCCACGGTCTGTCTTCGGATTGCCCCCCCTGAATATACAATTATCATTTGGTAAATGCGAATTTCGCTCACACAGGAGAGTTATAACCAAGATTTACAGCCAATTCACCCTCCTTCTCCACTTCCAGGCCCTCGCCATTAGGACCAACGGTATGATTAATTCAGCGATGACAATTCGGATTGGCTGATATTTTGGAATTATAACCCAG